AGCGGGACGAGACACCTGTTAATGTCACTGGGCTTTACCGTTATGCCTTCTTGGATTGACAAAATTGCAGGTCTGCTACTGGGGGGTATCTTTAGAATTCAAAGGAACCTGTCATTTTGTCTATTCAGGGAAAGCTGGGAGGTTCACCTACGGATTATGACTATATCTCCATCGCATACCATACCGGTTTACCTCTTTAAATTGGGTGCTGAAACAACTAGTGGCTGGCGCTACAACAATTCATAGGGAAAATATGTCATCAGCACTTGTCATCAGCACATATCTTGATTTAGAAATGTGATGTTCCTGCAGCATATCTGAAGGAAGTGCAACATTTCAGAACCGCACAGGGTTCCTTCACCAGGTAAAGTGCCCGCAATGCATTATTGATATTTTACCGGATGAAGGAACCCTGTGCGGTTTTGAAACATTGCAATTCCTTCTGATATGCTGCAAGAACTCTCCATTCATCTGTCGGATCCTTCAGAAATGCCAGGAACTGGTATTTTTAGGTGTTGTGGAGCATGTGACCTTCTCCCCACCTTACGGCATGCATGCAATCATCAGACCCGAGTGCTGTCAGGTGGGAAAGGGAAGAAGGTCATTAACCTTGTGTAAGCTCTGACACTAACCAGCACAGAGCTTACATAGGGACTAACTCTGGTGTCCCATTAGTAAATGGAGCAGTGAGGAAGCATGGCCCAAGTGATCATCAGTGGGCAGGAAGGTAGCCTGTCAAAGGGGACCTGTCACTTTCTCCTAATTAGGCAAAGTGATAGATTCTCTTTAAATAACGGACAAGAATATTGAATATTGTTAAAAGACTGAAACATTGATGGGAAACTGCATTCTCTTTGCATGGATTCTGTGCAGCCTCCTTCTTTAAGAGGACAGAGCTTAAAACCAGGGGAAACTTGTTCTACATGTCTGCAGACTCAAAGAGGTTCAGAAAACAAAGGCATTGGTTGCCAAAGATTTTTATCTAAAGAGGCTGCTAGGTTCAAAAGATGGGCGCCACAATGAAAATGGGAAACTTGGCAGGTAGACTTTGTTTCCTTAAAGTGGACTTGTTCCAAACAATAAATATTAAAGTAACATGACCTGTTAGGGCAGGGGTGGAGAAATGCCAGGAGCCAGGTAGCCAATGCTCCTTATGAATTACAGCTGGTGCCTAACTTTTGAGGTTTTCTCTAGTTGTTGGCAATGGCGCTGGCAAAAGAAAGCTCATTAGAGTGCAGTCCAAATTGCAATGGACCCACCAGGGTGTGAAAGGACTTCTAACATAAGCTTCTGTCCAAATTATGTAGACAGTGTTCCTAGGTTTGAGGCCTTCACAGGCACAGAAAACATTTTTGCAAATCACTGTCTGTATGGAGCGAATGGCCACAAATGTAGCTCCACCTTCTCTGCTCACATAAGTCTGTTCATCATGTCACAATCAATTGACATATTGTATCTCCCCCAAACCTTGATGGTTGTTTTAAAAATGTTACATAATTAGTTTGAAAAGACATGATATCCACGTGCAGGATACGGTACATGACCACAGCCTTATAACAGGATGTGTGTCATGGCAAGTGGCTTGTGCAGGTAGATTATCTAGAAGATATGTTGTCCGCACACCATTCTGCTTCGGAATATCTTTATTCGAATTTCTTTAGCATGACATATGGATGCAATGTTTCGGAGCCTCACAGGGCCCCTTCATCAGGCAAGGTGTCAAAAATTAAAAGTGCTGTAGCAGAATGGGGACATATCCACCGGTTATTCCGGCACCTGGATTCTGGGATACATCGACACGGTGTGGAGGGGATTTTACTAATAAATAATATTGTGCAGGTAGATGGGACAAGATACAAGTCAGTCCGGAAGACACACTGTCTGTGTGGTCAAAGAGCATATCAAACCAGATATGGAGTGACTGGGAATACAAAACCCCCCAAAATGTAATGGCTTACTAGACTCTACATGCCAGGAAAAGTTTATTTTCCAGCTATCAAATGTGAATGAATTTTTGAAAAAAACCTTGCTTCTGTGTAACGCAGGGGTAGGTAATCTCGGCCCTCCAGCTGTGTTAAAATGGCAAATCCCATCATGTCTCTGCCTCTGGCTGTCAGTCTTGCAATGTCTTATGGGACTTCCACAACAGCTGGCATGTCGAGGTTGCCTACCCCTGGTGTCGAGTTTGTAATTACATACAGTATGTACACGGGGACAGCGATACATATGAAATACATATGCAGGCTCTGCTCATGCTTAGTAAAGCTGCACAATGATTGTGCATTGTCGATCCTTTCACCTCACCTGTACGTCTGTTGGACAGGGTCTTTAGACTCTGCAGGAGCTCAACTTGCTTTTGATTTTTTTTTTTAAGAATGATATAGAATAACACAAATCAATTTTTTGGTTAATACAGAATTAAAGGGAGCTCTG